CAGTTCATTTACTTTAATCCAGATTACAAATCCATAAAAATACAATTTCAAACTCAGAACAAACATCACACCAAAGAGATACAGTACACAGTCTAGTAAGCATGTTTTTGATAATCTGAATAGTCTGAAGCTGAAATAAATGTTGAATTTTTACGTCATGTAACCTGCTACATGACCTAATGATGACCTAAACATTTATATATTGTCACATACAAAATCTATTTTTAATCTTCATTTCTAGATGTCTTTTTACCGACCATTGACCGAATCAGTGCTTATTGTGATACATAAATAACAGTAAAGAGGTGATAAAGACAATACAAATGGAAATATCAGTAAGAAAGAAAGAAAAAACAGAACCTTGCACCTCCGTCCCTATTCGAGCTGAAACTACTGTTCATCTACGGTTTATTTTCTTGGTAATTAGGCCTAAATCTGCAATAACTTGGGGGCAGCATTGTCAAGACTGCACATTTTCATTTATTATGTACACTGGTGAAATACATATTTGATCCATTACTCCATTAATATACTACTACAACAATGTAAAATGCCATTACAGGTGCAAGTCAAAATCCTTTATAAGTCTGCAAAAACTGGGTTTTTGACCACTTGGGGGCAGCGTAAACGATAGAATGTCACCTTTTAAGATAATACACTGAACATTTTAACAAACGGTTGTGTATTTACAGAGCAACATTAGCATTCATTTAGAGTCGTGTTTTTGGCCACCTGATGTAAATCCAATATTCACTCTCTTTTTAGCTCTAGTTTGGTCTCCCGAACTCCCAAAGGAAATATCTGGCTCTTTAGCTGCTTAACGCTCCACTATGTTCACCAGTTATCAACTTTTCTTCGACGCTATAAGAGCGGTGCAACTGAACCAAATCAGCAAAGCTTTGGGCCAAAAAAACAAACGAGCTGAGAGACACTCGATCGCTCTGAGGGGAACTGCAAAGTCAGATGGTGATTCTCCGTCGGTTCATCACTTTGAAGGACCAAATTTCACAATGAGCATGGTCATTTTATCCATTGTTATTTAGTGCTGTTAAATGATGCATTAATTAATTAATTATTTGGACTATTTAATTAAAATTTTGTAACGCCCAAGGTGATCAAATTGCTTTTTTTGTCCAACCAACCATCTGAAACCCAAATAAATTTGATTAACAATTATACAAAAAGGGGACAAACGAATCAATAATTGTTTTAGCTCCAGTCTCCACCTCTTTGACGTAAAAAGTGTGCAGCTCTTTGAGGGATGTCTGTAACCTTCATTCAAATGAAACCAGTAGAGTCTGAATGATCAAACTGAAGTGGGAGTATAATCTTGGAACAACAATCTTTGGTTGACACACTGGTCTGTCACCTCTCCGCTGCTTCTGTGAGAGAGTTATGGCACTGGTTTGGGCTAAGTGGCTCCCTGATCTCTCTGCTGCATTATGGCCGTAGTGTGCCTCTGTCACCAGGGGAAAAGGGGTTAAAACGGTGTACCTGTCACTGTAACAGGCTGATTATTGCCTGTGGAGCTGGCAGGCTTGTGAGGATCGCTCCCCTCCCCACACTCCCTGCTGGGAGAGAGGCCTGGGGCCTGTGCTCACTGAGGCTGAATGACTCACAATTACCACAGCGACGGAGCCTGCAGCCACCTCCCATTCTCTCCAGCCGTTTCACTGACTCACTTAGCGCACATGACAAATGACAAAATCACCCCGAACCTCCGCCCCCTTACTAAGACCTGATTGCCCATCGCCCACACTTTGCCTACAGTACTTAAAGCTGCGATACATCTTGCCAAGCTTCATGAAACAAAACTAACTTTGTCTGAAAGTAACTTCTGGACTTTTAAAAGCAACATTTTACGATGTTACACGACGTAGTCGGTGCATATTTTAGTATGGCAGAGTGAACAGCAAACCTTTGACATTAAAGCTGTAATTGTTGAAATACACAAAATTTTAAACCCAACAAAACACTTTTTTAATGTAACAACACGGGTAACTGAAAAATAGATATTATTTGAGGTGCATCGTGAAAGGATGACTTCTTGTACTGTGTTTTAAATATGAAAGCAAGTGGGTGGTATAAATACCCAAAGCACACCACATTAGTGCTCAACTGTTAACAAAACAATGTCGAGGTGTGCATGCTTAAATGTGAGAATATTCCACCACAGTGAAGCAATGCATTCATCTTGTCACACTGTGAAAACAACAGTGAATTCAAGGGTTTTCCTGCGCCATCTCAACCTGCTTACATTGCACAAGTGGAAGGAGGGAAGCATGCTGATAGTTAAATCTTACACCTCATATACTTCCCCCCAGTTAAATGCAGAGTGGCGAGAGAGTTGTAGCAGTATGCAGTTTTTCAGAGTGGAGTGTAGAACTAGTGATTGTTATAATATTTAATGATGAAAAATAACTTATGCGCTGCAGTAGAACATGTGACCTCTGCGAGCTCAGAGATGCGTTGATTGTCCACTAGATCTCCAAGGGTTTGAAAACCGGCAGAAAGTATCTTAAAAGTGATACTACACTTTATTTACCTGCAGAGATTAAACCACAACTGCGTTTAAAAGCGTCACGGTGGTGTGGACAGCAGTGTGTGCTCTCTCACTGCAGTAATGATTGCAGCTCTGGCTCAGTTTCCAGTTCTTTTTTTTCAGAGCCACATTAAGCCCATTTAAAAATGTGTCTTTGACAATGATGCTGCACACACTGAATCTGACACCTCCAACATTGCCAGACACTTAAATCTTCTGTTCAACAATAGCACACGGCTCACTTCATCCCCCCCCTACTGCAGCCTGGCCTCTCAGGCTTTCTAATGAAGACTGTGCAGAAGAGAGGGAGGCATGCCTTGCTCAGATACGAGTGTTGGCGCCATCTGAGAGTCACTCTAGACAAGCGGCGGTGTTGGCAAAATGATCAGGATCTTAAAAGCAAGGGGCAGTTTTATAGAAATCAAGATCGACAGATTTTTCAAGAACCCTAAAGGGCCTTTTTCATGGACACCACAGGGGCTCTTAAGTGTTATCTGGGGAGGCGGGCAGAGTGCTAGCCTCTGTGCTGCGAAGAGAAATCAAACACAAACTAGTCCTTCAATAAGAGCTGTGGGGAATGGTGCATTTGTCATCAAAGTCATCCTGCCCGGCCTCAACTCCCCCTTTTGAAAAAAACAAAGATCTGAAAAGATTAAAAACAATATGTCTTCATTTTATCCAATTTTTTTTGTTCATAATTAATGACTTTGGGATTCTCAAAGAAGTTATGAGAACTATCCGATTCAAGAGGAAGGAATATTCGTCACGGCAGTTATTGGCCCCCGTGGGGAGACTGAAGGATGTGAGCGGCAGTGTAGCGTAGCAGCAGACAGGTAACTAGAGGAGAGGGCGCCTGGCTTCTAACACCCTCGTGGTAATAGGGCCAGATTAGAAGAAGAGGGGGGGGAGGGGGGGGGGGGGGGGGTCCTCTCATCTGAGTCCAAACCCCAGACCACAACCACATCAGCGGGAATCCTCGCAAAGGCAGTTGAAATGCGATACACGTTGTTATGAAAGGAAATAATCAATACCGCTGACTGACTGCAACGCAAGTGAACAAATCTGAGCCGGATTGAAAACCCTGCATAAAATGGAATAAAAATGAGTCAGACTTAATAATCCTGACTAAGCCTGTATAAGGAAGCCCTTGCAGTCAAGACAGTAGATGGATCAGAGCACAGACAGGAGTGCATGAATTATGCATCATCTTAAAATCTCTGCGGGTAGAGCGCACATACACAAACTTATCCTGCATTTGCATCACTTATTGTTCACGTTTACAACTCAAAATTTAAAAAAAACGACGCGTGCGTTTGTGTGTGTCCTCCCCTGCCATATCCAAAGAACACAATAATGCTGTGGACTTCTATGCCGCATTAGACAGAAGCTGTTAATAGACCATTACCGTTAAATAATTACCTATTACTTTGCTCTTACGTTCACACGCTCGTCACGAATCTACTGCTGAGCACAGCAGCACTGTCTTATCTCCCTCCCTCCCCTCCCCTCCCCTCAGCTGATGTTAACATCTGACAGGTTTGTGTGTGTGCCGATACAGATTCTTTTCTTTAATTAAAAAAGTCTTAATTGGACATTACACTTTATTCTTCGGTCCCCCGCTTGCCCGCCTCCCCTTCCAAAAACACTTTGATCCTCCGACCAAATCTTTCGAGGCAATAATAGTTCCCCCTGTTTTTCAGCCTCGCACCACAGTGCTAAAGAAGCAAAAAGCTTAGTCTGCTCTCTACTTTGAGTTTCTTCCTTTAAGATTTTACACAGGAACAATTTCTCTCCAATTAGATGATCTTCAAGTGACCTCATGTGACTTCATTTGACTGAAAATGAGATGAAACATTAATATGGCACCACGGATGATGCTTAGGGAATGTAGAAATGGTTCATCCGGACACTTTATGAGTACATAAATCAACCTCCAACCTCTGTTGTCAGAGAAACAACCTTAGAAAGCATTTCGTAATGACAGAGCTTTAGTGTTTTACAGGATTATAGACTTTGTAGAAAATTGTCCGCCCTCACAAATATTGATTAAACTGCCCAAGACCACAGGAGAAACGCACTTTATGTGAATTCAGTTTTGGTGTGGATTTTCTGTTTGAATCCGTTCTTTGATCCCTCTGGCCTCGAAGGAGGCATACGATCCCATTACGAGGGAGCTTAGGGAATTACATCGGCTCTGTGAAAACTAGACATAAAGGAGCATTTTCTCTCACGGCCGGGGTAAACAAAAGAATGTAATAATAGCAATACCTGCAAAACTTCAACCATTTATTTATATATATAACATTGATAGAATGTCACGGTTACTACCACTAGAGGTGTGAACAGTAAATTAAGTATCGATTAAGCCTTTAATTTGTTTTCTGTCCACCCTACCTCGCTGATAACTGCGTACTTTCTCTTTCTATTTTCTCCTTCAATCCCCACCTCCTTTCTCTAGGTGGCCTTGGGTCAAGAAGACGACTCCTCCAGCCCCAAGAGCTCTTCAGACGACTCCTCCAAGACGGTGGGCCTCATGAGCGGGCAGGCTCCCCTCTCGCCCCTGAGCCGCTGGATGCTTCACAGTAAGAGCAGAGCTGCTAACACCACCTCTCTGGAGCTGCCCTACCGCTCCCCGGTCCCTTTCTCCAAGCAGGAGTTTTCTAAACAGGAGTTCTGGGAGATGTTGGGGAGCGACCTGCTCAAACCCGACGCCTCCAGCTCCAGGGTCAAGCGGCGGCCCATCGTTAAGACCGGCAAGTTCAAGAAGATGTTCGGCTGGGGAGACTTCTATTCCAATATCAAGACGGTGAGGCTTAACCTGCTGATCACCGGGAAGATTGTGGACCACGGTAACGGCACGTTCAGCGTCTACTTCCGCCACAACTCCACGGGCCAGGGCAACATCTCCGTCAGCCTGGTGCCACCCGTCAAGGCGGTGGAGTTTGACCTGGAGCGCCAGAGCGTGGTCTACCCTAAGGACTCAAAGATCTTCAACTGCCGTGTGGACTATGAGAAGGTGGATCGCAGCAAGCGCACCTCGCTGTGCAACTACGACCCGTCCAAGACCTGCTTCCAGGAGCAGATTCAGAGCCACGTGTCCTGGATTTGCTCAAAGCCTTTCAAGGTCATCTGTATCTACATTTCCTTCTACAGCACGGACTACCGCCTGGTCCAGAAGGTTTGCCCGGACTACAACTACCATAACGAGATGCCCTACCTGCCCTCGGGCTAGACTTGGAGGGGGGGGAGGAGAGGTGGGAGGGGAGAGGAAAAGGGGGGTGAGTCGGAGTGACTGCAACACATGAGGAGAAAACCAGGGCTGTGAATCGTCCTAAATGCCATCGTGGCAGCAAGACACCTTAAACTAAAAAAAAACCCTCTCTGTAGCCTGACTATTGTAAGATGTAAAAACATATATGCAAAACAAAAATGACAGTATGCAGATAATGAGGCATTTGGAATGCGTAACTGCAGCATTCATTAATTAACTGGACTGGTGGTGAAAATCAAACACGCACATTCTTACCTCAATCCAGTTTCCAAATGCCAACTTCTTGCCAGCTAACTCTCTCTTCTATTAAGTCATTTGTGAATGTGGTCTGAATGTCCTTTTAATCGTCCTTTACTACATCGCTCTCTTTTGAAAAGTCACAAGGCAGCATTTCCAGTGAAAGCGTTCATTTAAATGCTGCGATACGAGTCACTGGAGTGCTGTATACAAATTCAGACTTATTACAAACATATTACAGCGTTTCACAGCTCACGCTGTAAATGATAAAAACAAAGTGTGTTTATCTCACAAAGAGCAGATGAATGTAAAGTGTGACCAGCCACACGATCATTTGGGTCACACTCAAAGTATTTTTAAAGGGGCATCTTTTTTTATGTGAACTTTAAGTCCATCCCAAAACAAGTTCCTCTTCCTACCCATCTGCTGTACATTGTCAATGTGTAGTTTACGTTTGCAGCCTGGCAAATCAAATCATATTCTCTTCGTCACGTCAACTCCATTTCAATAAAAGAGGGATGAGAGGAAGGGAGAGAAAAAATAACAAAAATTTGCAAGAAAAAGCAATTCAAGGATTCTGGGTGAGGGCTTAAGACAAGTTCAGTGCGAGGGAAATAACTAGATTCTGCATAGAGATAAAATTGGCCCTCCATACTTAAGAGAGAGAGAGAGAGAGACAGAGAGAGAGAGAGAAAGAGAGGTGGGGGAATGAGAGAGGAAAAGATTCAGTGAGCTGTTTTAATTAAAGTGGAGAAGGAGACTTAGAGTATGCAGCTCCTTCTATTGTCCCCTCTGTATGAAAAAGATTACATTTTGTTGCCGTCAGGATTCCTGATTTCACGCCTTGATAGCTTTGACTGTGTGAGGCAGATTGCTCTCTCCCGACAAATACTGTGTTCTCTAAAGTCGGCCCGTTATCTTGAATAAATGAAAATATTATCATAATAATTACATATAATTTAATCTCCTTTAGAACTAATTAAGGTTTCAACGAGAGGGCGAGATGTGTTCCTAGAAATCAAGTCAGCGGGAAGGAGAATAAGAGGACGTTCTCGGGCACATTGGTGTTTTTTTTTGCGTGAAGCCGGCAGCCAAAGCTCAGCCCACAGTTAACTGCTCTCATTAAGATAAATGGCCACTGGCTGGCCCATCTCATGTTGCTCTCACAAACAATACCAGGGGAGAGAAGTGCACACAATGGAGCCACGAATTATAGCCTGACATTTAGTTGGCGGGAGGGCACAATGACTTTTTTCTTGGTGAACAGTCACAAGACAGGTGTGACGAGTCATTAAACGGTAACCGGTTTGATGCTAATGTGCTGTGATGTCAGGGATTCAACCAGTGTTTGTGCACATTTGGCTTGGACTGCGCAGCGATGTCCCGGGTGGACCCGGGCAGCAGTGCGCGGTCACCATGAATCCGTCCTCCTGTTGGGAGGGGGGGCGCATGAGGCCAGATATAATTGCATCTCCTTGGCAGCTCTGTGTGAGATTGAGGAGAAGGAGTAGGAGGGGAAACACAAAGTCGCAGTGCTAAAGATAGTAACAAAGACCTGTAAATCTGCACATCAAAGCTCTGCATTTGGGGGGTTGTGTAGCGTTCAGGGGGGTAGCTCCTCTCTTTATGTGACTGAATCAACTTGTGGCCCAGAGCAAATGGCAGCAGTGCACGGGTCTGTCTGGGGACAGACAGCCATGATGAAGGCTGTTCATCTGTCTCCTCTTGCCTGTGATTGTTTTATGGAAACAGTGTCTCACAATCAGAATCCTCACAGAGGGGATTTTCCTAAAGAGGCGACCATCAACCGGAGTGCAGACTATGAGAAAGCTTGAGCAGATTCTAAAGTCCTGCCACATCATAGTAATGCAGTATTTATTTGAAAACACGTATAAAGAGTCCCAGTGGAACATGCAATATAGATGTAGGTCCTGTCTGCTGGATGAGATACAAGCTTGTAAAATGCATATCAACCAGCATGAATGAACCACTGCCTCTTGCTCTGTTCATTCCCTTCCTCATCCTCCATCTCTCTCTGCCCCTTTCCCCTCCATGCGTGTTACTCAGCCACATGCCCTGCCGTCGTCACGCCGTTGTCCTCTCTCCCCGTGTGTGACCCGGCTCACTGGCCTAAGCCTCCACGCCCTCTCTACCTCCCTTACCCTGGCGTTGAACCCCGATGTGGGTAGTTCCTCACTGCTGCCCCTCCCGCCCTCCTGCGCACAGCGCTGAGCTGAGCTGGCTAATCTCTGTGAGCTTAATGCCGAGCCAACTGAACATCAGCGGCGAGAACTCCCCTCTCTCCTTCTCTATCTATCTATTTCTCTCTATATCTATATACCATCAAACAAATGCGTGTGCACACACAGTCTTAAGATGTTCTGGTTTAGGTATTTCCCCCTCTCCTGTTCAAAGCATTTTACATAAGCCCCTGGATTGTGAGGACACAAAATCTCCTCGAGAGCATGCCAACGGAGTGCCCGACACAGATACGCCTCAGTAACCTCAATACTCCTCCCCTCGCCTCCGGCAGGGTGTCCGGTGAGGAGCTGGATACTCACACATGTTGGAATCAAAGCTGGGCAACATGAGCCCACGGCACTGAACTGGTTTAGAAAAAACCAGGACACGTCTTGGACTACATGTTGGGAGGACGCCCCTAACTCTGCTTCTCACCGATTCTCTCTGATTTACAGCAATACTGTCATTGAGACTCCACCCTCTCCTCCTCTCTCCGAGGCGAGTTAAAGAAAGGCTGCTGGACTAAGATTAACAAACAGTCATGTTGCTGTGGGATGGACGCTGTTGTCACGGCAGCAGCCTTACTGTTGACCCAACTGATGCCAAGAGACATGTGGATATTTGGCCTTAGAGACTGTCAGCAAAGAACAGTGAAACATAAATATACATATATATATAAATATATATATATATTAAAGCTAAAAGTCCTCAGATCTGAATAAAGTTGTATTTAAATGTGGTTCATGCAGTGAAGGTTGTCTGTTTTAACTTTTTGTTCCTCATGGTTTTGTTTCTCTATGTCATGTGGAGGATGTACTGTATGGATGATATGATGGCAATTACTGTGGTTTTCAACATTCTAAAAATCAATAAAGTACACAGAAGTACTTGAACCACTTCAGTTGTAGAGAGACAGACTCTTAGACTCTTATATCTGGTTGGGCTTCATGTGTAGGAAGACAGTGTCAACAATGCTGAAGTCTCTATTTCCTCATATTTGCATACCCATACTGTGCCACTGCCAACGGCAAAGAAAAGATGTGACTTTCTTTTTTTTTTTTTTTTGCTGAGGGCGCTTGCAAATATACATGCAGAGAGAGAGAAAAAAAGAGGAAAATGGGGTTGAGAGGGAGAGGAGGAAAATGTTTCAACTGGAATGATGCATGAACACAACCCCTTCCCCTAATTAGCAGCCCCCTCTCCCCCCTTTTTGTTTCCTGGTTGTGCATCTTCGTACTCCTCGTTCATTTGAAGATGTAACTGACATTAAACTCACACTACTTCTTAATTAAATCCCAGAAAACTGTTAACGAGGGCATGGGTTCAAACATTCAGCTCACAACATCCCTTTAAACAAGATCGATTAAGGCATGGCTGCCGGCAAAGCCGGGCCCTCCACCCCTCCTCTACGCCCCCTTGTTCCCATAAAAGTGCTGCTTGCCTCAGGATAACCTTGCCGGAGATGATGAAAGGGAGGCAAATAAGTCAACATGGAGACAGAAGAATGGAAATCTAATTTGGAAGAAAGCAGGATTGAGGTTAATGTGAAATCTGTGAGAGCAGCATACTGGGTCAAAGATGTACGGGGAAGGCACATACTGCAACATGTGCACAGACACACACAGAGGGTGGACACTGCAGGCGACAATCACTGATAATGGGTGGAAGTCTTTACAAGAAGTACAGAGGCTATTGGTTGTCTACGAAAGAGAAAACAATCCAAGAGTGTGAGCTTCTCACGGAGGAAAGGGCATTTCAGCGTGAGTAATGGGGAAGCTGGACAATAGTCAATTGAGAAAATAACTAGTCATGGCGCGAGGAGGCGGGAGAAGGCGTGCAGAGCTTAACATGATAAATAGACATTCAGAAAAATAACCTTGAGGTATGAAAACGTGTGTGTCTGGAGAAACTAGACAAAATATGTAACAAGAGACAAGGAGAGTGAGAGAAGACAGAAGGGAATGGCGCTGACTCAGTGTTAGCACTTTATTTTGAACAACAAGACTATCAGGTTTGCAATTTCATCCTGCAGAATGATAATTATGTGATTAATTTCACCTCCATGACATGTTACGCCACAAAGTGTAATACTGCTCTGACGGTAGAGATTGCACTCTGCAGCATCATCCCCTCGCTAACGGTGTTGACAGATTCAAAGCTCATGCGCAGCGCTCTCATTTCTTCACATTTTAAAATCATCGATGAGGATTAGGCTGGTGTACCGGCTCGATGATATACAGAACCGGAGTGATACTGAGGTTTTATTAAAAATCTGATTTCATCAGTCATCTGTAACTAATATGATACAGGTTTCTCTGTCAGCCTGGAAACCCTTCAATAAGGATAACCTCTCGCATAATTTTGGCTTTTTAATCTGTTTTTGTAAATTACTTCTTCATTTAAATGACCAATATATCCCCAAATCTCGTTCTATATAGAATACGCGTGTTTGGTCAGCCTGCACACCCTTCTGAAAATTTCATTAGTCGGGGGTTTCACAGGTTTTTGTGTCTCATTATAGTGTAAATGTGGTTTCGGGGGCTTTTTCACTCGGAGAAGAATGAAATTCTGCGCATATATAAATACATGCGTCGTACATATGTTTAATATATATAAATAAAAAAAGACCAACCTATATATATTTTGTATATATACTAATAAGACTCTGTAATCTGTTTCCATATCATGTTGCACACAAGTCTGCAGATCTTATAGAAGCTGATGAGGGTTTTTGTTACCTGGATACCTTCTCCATCCAGATGCAATTTGTCATGCCGTGCCTCGCTGCACTCTTGCTGAATTCAAATACACTTGATGTTCTTTGATATTCTGGATTGTGTGTGTCGGGGTGGTCATGGTCATGCTCTTACTACGGGCACAAATGTGTAGAAGGAAATGTACACATTCGCTTGCTGCCCACACACACACACACACTCACAAACACACGCACACACATTAAGTGGTTCCATGCTTCAGCATCCTAATAGTCTCTCTGCCCCACTATGCCAATCATGGAACCCGTAGAAGAGCGGGGCAAGCAGGTGGGCCAAGTCTCTGCCACAGAGCATTATGGGAGACGAGTTACATCAGACAAGGACAAATACAGGATCAGCCTCTCAACCCCTCGCAGTTCCTTTCATGATGGAGCGCTGCGGCCCCTATCACTGTATTTCCAGACAGAGTGGACACGCGTACGCAGGGCACACATACTCCACGGAGGCCGGGAGAGAGGCTGGAAAATTATAGTGCGGCGGAGGGGTTGAGTTGATGAAACAGCGGGAGGGCGGTGGAGGCAGTGGGAGCTTGTTGCAAAAGAAAGCACAGATGGCCTAGGGCTACAACATGGTGGGAAGAGGAAAGAATAACTGAATAAACTAATTTGAGGGGCAGAATTTCACACACACCTCCATCAATTCAGCACTCCCTACCTCCGCTTCAAAAATAGTTTTTTTATCTACAAATCATCCTTACGCAAAGAAACCTAGACTTTGAAATGGAAATACTAATAACAAAGATCAGGGTTCGAGGCTTTGTTGCATCTTGTAACAAGAAAACAGGAAGAGTGGACAGCAAATTCACACATCGACGTCAATGTTGAAATTCTGTGGGCGTCTGTGTCATGCAATGTGGCGGTATTAGCTGGAGGCCATGATGAAGACATTAGGGCTGTGATCTCTGTATTAGCCCGAAAAGAGGACATTTCCACTTAACTAAAGGAAGCGGTGGAGAGGATGGGTAATTTAAATTCAGTGACAAGGCTTTAAATACCAACCAGGGATCACAGTTGTGCCCTTTGGCAAAGTAATTATTCACTCCCTAAGAAGACGATCAGGTGCGGATGTGTGGTCATGCGCGTGCACATGCATTTGGCGAGGAGTGTGTCGGCATCTGTGTGTGTGTTTGAGTGAACCGGGAGGGAGCGAGGGAGGTGTGAAATGTTACAGCTTCTCCTCTTTTCATGTAACTGAGAAGTGTTTATGCCAAACTCTTCAGAGGAGAGAAAAGGGTGCTCAGCTATACGGGCTCATATCAGGTTATGAACGTGAGAAGGAAGAGAGAGGAAGGCATAAAACAAGAGTTGGTAAAGGTTAGCTCTCCACTGCTCCATCACTGTCTCTTGCCAGCGTGTTCCCTCGTCCTGTCCATTTTTTTTTTTTCTTCCTTTCTAACCTTCAACCAGAGGCGGTGTGATCTCAGGAGGAGGAGCTATCTTCTGCTGATGCCAGACTGAAGTCCAGCCCTTAGCTGACAGGATGAGACTCTCACTGGGAAACTGTCCTTCAAAATCTGCATCCTGACGGATTTCTTTTGGCCCTGGTTTTGCTGCTATCTTTCTCCAACACTCCATATCCCTCAAGCTCCCTCTGTTGCCCCTAAGTTACCAACTAGCCCCAAGGTACGCACACGCATGCACACACACAGGTTTGTTTCTGCTGACAGTCCAGTCCTTATGGTACTGCGGGACTGTTGCTTGATAAGTCAAAGACAGATTTGGGGGCTCTGATGCGTCTCATTATCTTTGGGGCTGTTCACAGGGAGCTACCCCCTGCACGCACGCACACACACACACACACACACACACACACACACACACACACACACACACACACACACACACACACACACACACACACACACACATACACACACACACACACACAGCACTCCAGCATGAGATCATCACAAACCCAAAGTTGTGCAGACTCAGCTGCAGACAGTCACACAACACCTCAATCAGTCTTCATTTGTCTCCTATTCCTTGTCATATTTTCCTGCTTATTTGGGGAAGAAAAAACAGGGAGCTCTCTAGTGAGAAGCTATATTTTTCCTTTCTCTCTCCTCTTAGTGAACAGTTAAAATTTTGCTAAAAGCTGGTTGTGAAACATGTCTGAGGCCCGTGTCCTGCTGGGCTCAAAGGTGCTCCAAAACCAGCTGCAGGCAGTGGAAGAAACAGTCACCTAACAGTATAGCACATCCCCCTACAGGCACTCGCTGCAAATGACACATGAATGAATGCTGTAAAAGTAAAGCTTCGCTCATGTTGCACGAAAATGCTCTCGATGGACAAACAGTTGGCTCACTTCTGGAGTTTTTTTCCCCAAAAGACGCAACAACAAACCCCTTAAGAGCGTCTTTGTATCAAATGAAAAAGTCTGGACCGTCCCTCTGTAAAATGTCTGAACAAACTTCCTGCTGCAAAGACCTCGTTTTATGGCTCTGAAGTGACATCAGAAGCTGGGTTATCCCGTTTACAACTCAGTAAAAAGAGAACGCTACGATGGAGAGCAGGTTCATTGCAGGAAGGTAATTGGAAAACTAGACTTTATTAATGTGACCTCTCAATGTCAATGGACGGTCACGCAGTAAGTCTCTGTCTGACATTTTAGCAAATTAGAAGAGCATCACAGCCTGCTGTTGATTCATTATTTCACATACAGTGTTGGAATGTCTAAAATGTCGGCCAAAAAAAGGACAAAGACTTAACGACGCCTTTGCAGCTCCTCCACTGTGAATGATAGTGGTGGAAATGTATTTAGAGCCTTTATTTAAAGGCAAAGCTGCAAAATCAAAAGCAAAATTCTTCAATGAAAAGTCAGAATTCCACATTTTACTCAAACGTAACATCAACACAACTCTGACAGACTGTCATCTTAAGTTAATACCAGGGACATTTGCAACATTAG